TTAGTCTACAGCGTATCAACTTCCTGTGCAATTCACAGGTTATTCATGGGATAAAAAATATTAATAATGTTAAATTGTCCAATTTTCCATGAAAAGTGTCTACCCGGTAATGAGGAATTTTATAAAACTTGTTTCTCAAAATTGAATAAATTCTATTGAAATTACAATAGGTATTAAATCATAAAAAACATGATTTTAAATCAATTATATTACAAATTTTATCACTTTACACAAAAGACTAAAAAAAATTAAAAAAATCTTACTACATTGTATGTTCATCAGAGATGCAATTCATTTTTTTTCATATGCAAAAATATAAAAGACCATCTTCCAAAAATATAAAAGACCATCTTCCAAAAATATGTCCATTATTTATTTCCCCAAGTTAGCTTTTTGAATAATACATTACATCAATTGTGCAAATTGACACATGACTCATTATTAATATTTTCCTCTGTTTACATATTCCTGAATTTCATCAAATGTCACCAGCTGCAATATACTTTTGTACCTATGAAGGATTGAAGAAAGTTGGAAGATTGGTTCCGGAATCCTATCATCCTCTGGTACATATGGCAGCTGCATCAGCGGGTGAAGTGGTGAGTAACTCAGGTGAAATAATTCTATACCAAGCATGGACACATGCTAAACATTCAGGACTTGCCATAGCCCTTGAAGTTGCGACCATTTAGTTGCCATGGCAACCATTTTTATTGATTGATGACTGAAAGTATATTTTTGATCAAATGGATATATGATTTTCGATAGTTAATTTCTACTTATTTTTCAGGGTGAATTATTTTAACCATATTATGAGCTAACAGCATTCTCTTTTCCATGGTGGTCTCAGAACAGGACGCCAACACAGATACCAATTACTGTGATAATAATATGCATAATCTGCTTCACAAAAGACAAATTTTTGCAGATTTCGAAACTCAGTGAATTTTGTAGTAGTGAAAGTTCCACAACATGGAGTGTTAGTGACTTTCCTGAACTTTTGACCTCACAAATGCCATGAAATCCTGAAGTCGCAAACATTTCTATCAATGAAAATTATCCAATTTACTGTTTTTTTTTATCTCCACATAGATATCATGTGTTGTAGGGGTTCCTGTAGAAGTGGTCAAACAAAGAGCCCAGGCTAATACAAAATTTACAAGTTCTCAAGTTTTTAGAATGACGATAAGACAAGAGGTAGGTTCAATCTCATGTGACTACAAATTATTTAATAATGGTCGACTGAGTAGGGACTGGGAAATGATGTTCAGCACTTCAAACAGGGTGCCACATAATTTTGTTGTGGAGTAATTGTTTTACTGATAAAAACTTTTTTTTTTCGATATGTATTTTTGCCAAACAAATAAGTCCATTTGTAGCTCTGCTGTCAACAAAGTTGGAAGAAGTAATTTACAATATTTTCAACTGCTTAATAATTATATCAAAGCCTCACTTTTGTAATGTTTGTTTTCTTATTAGGGAATTCGTGGTTTGTATAGAGGATATTTAAGTACAGTTATACGAGAGGTAAAAAATGATAGTTTCTTGTACAAGTGTCTAGCAAATGTGTGTCCTCAATTCACCGAACATCAATTGACCAAATTTCTCGTAATCCAAACTGATTTTCATTCACCTGACTAATTTGCACGGTAATGTCTCAGCCTAAGGAGTTCAGTTACATATATTTGTATTTTGTTTATTCCTTGATTGTTTATGTTTTCTAAATTAACTTTTTTTTGTTTTATTTGTCACAGATTCCATTGTCATTTATTCAAATGCCCATTTGGGAGATTTTAAAAGTAAGTATAAAATTGGAAACTCAGTTTCCAACATGAGCTAGGTTTGAGGTTTTTAGAAATTTTAGGGCATTGTAGAAGGAGATTCAAAAATCAGTTTTTTTGCTGTTGTCATGGCAACAGTGGCCCAGGAATACAGATTTTATCGCCCAACTAAAGTGCCTACCAAGTATGGGTCCAGCCAAAAAAAAGAGTTAAAAAGCCGTTACTGGTGAAATATTTCAAAAAAACAAATAGTAAATTGGTGCCCACACTCATGTTGAATAGAATGAGTTATGTCTGAGGTTTTTAATCCTAAATTTGTAGGAGGAGATACATTTGGCGCGAAGCTATTAAAAAATCAGTTTTAGGGCTGTTGCTATGGCAATGGTGGGCCAGAATTTTTTTTATATTTTACCACCTGACTAGAGTGAAGGTATGACCTGCCTGCCAAATTTGAGTGAAAATCGGCCAAGCCAAAAAAATCACAGAAGAATTACTAAACGAAAAACACTGGAAATCACACACACAGGCAGAGACACACACACACGAATTCAATTGCAATTTTAGCAGAACGGATCGCCAACCAAACGTGTCAGGAAAAAAAAGCAAAAAAAAATATGACAAAAACACTTTCCAGATTGAACATGGAGGCTTGAATAACACAGCAATCGTGTACGATCATGTGATATACATTCTCTGAAATCACAATCTATATTTGTATAGTTCTTCCCCCTCCCTTTCTCGATGAGTTATCTCTCAGGAATACTTCATTAATTCCTTTTTTGCAAAATTTTTCTCATTTGTCAAGAACATCATGATGTTCATACAAAATGTAGTCTGTTTTATTCAGTGTCATTAATTTTTAGAAATTTTGGTCAAGGAAACAGCAACGAGCAGTGAATCCATGGGAATCGGCAACATGTGGTGCTCTTTCAGGTAATCACATGTCATCAGTCTTATTATCTTGTTATGACGTAACTGAACAAATTTATTGCATTAGAACAATCATGTAGGACATTTTGCAATTGTGGATCACAGGAAAATTTTACACTTATACATCGTGAGGAATACAAAGTACACCTTTCCTAGAAGTCACTTTCTCAGTGGCTTAAATGTTCCTGTGATGTAGAAATGACATAGATGGCTGAAAGCAAGGTTATTCTGACCAACAAAACAACTTTGTTTTTGTTTAGTCATTCATTGTTTTCAGTATAGTGAATATAATGAAAAATCTGGTTAAAAATAATTAAAAAAAAGTATTATTTAAAAATAATAATAATAATAATAACATTTATTATGCATCTGTCACCGTAACGCCATAAGTTACAGTGTGCCGTAATTTTGTGGTATTGCACTGGGTATTTTCATCCTACCATATTAGGAAACACAAATTCCAAATATGAAATGATTACACACGTAAGTGTGCTCTAATAATAAAAAACAAAACATAGCTGCCCCCAGGGTTTGATTTTGGCATTCCATTTTGTATTCCTGGGAGGAAAAGATGTATAATAATAAGGTTATTACGAGTATTTGCAGAGTATACACTAAATGCTGCAAGTCGGTCGATACTCCAGGTGTACTGTCTTTGTTCAAACTTTACAGTATCCTCGTAATAACCTCATATTCATTGAAAATCTTTTCTTCTACACATCACATCCTTGAACGAAAATATACCACACATTTATAAAAAATATATATATCCCATGATCCCTTGCTGGATTATCTTATTGAAGCGACCATTTTGACTCCTCAAGTTGCTGGCCATAGTGTCATTTGTATTTCAAGCAAGATATTAGTGTCGACCATTTATTTGAGATGCTAAAAAAAAACAGGCAAGATTTACTCTGAAATTCTTTTTTTATACAACTGTGACATTCGTGTCTACTCTCTTCATTATCTTGATTTTGCTGGTAAATTTGCTTTCCTGACCTTATGGCATGTGCATGAAATAGTATATCTAATTTACATATTTTTTAGTATTTTCAATCGAATTTAAAAGAAAAGCTTTTGTATAAGATGCACTCACACTTTGTGATTTTATATCAAAAAGATAGGCTTGCACATTGTGTATTTTATGGTGGAGAGCATGATGTATAGGAAAGGTGCGTTTCAACTGTAGAATGCAATATTGTAATACCCGGTATTTGTCATGTGACCCAATAAAAACAATGGCATCTCACAAATCTGAATTGGAAATGTATTTTTCTGGAAAATAACCGAGAATTTAGTTTTAGAAAAATACATAAAATAATTGTCAAATGTTGATCCATGATGTCATTTGAATGGTCAACTTTCATATTCAACTTTTCTTTTACATCATTGACTGATTGTTATGAAAGGTAGTTTTAAAAGTCAGTTCAGTCATTTAATTGATAAAATGCAATACAGTTATCGATTTTTCTATTTCAGGAGGAGTTGCAGCTGCCATTACTACACCACTAGATGTTGCCAAAACTAGAATTATGTTAGCGAAGGTGAGCTTTCTTCCAAAATATGTATGGTTTGTGAAAAACCTCTCACTGACCCCTGTGCAGGCATCATAAGAGCTTTGCATCATGCTCTATACCTGCTGAGAATTCTGTCAGGATTTCCAAATTCTATTCTAGACTTGCTGTATGTCCTGGATCAACAGGACAGCACACCACATAAAATAAATAAAATAAATCAAGAAATCCAGTGTTATCCAGTTGCAATATGTAAAAAATGTATGATTAGTAAAGATGATGGATTGTGTCTTGCTGTTATTGTCCTTAGTCACAAGTATTGAACAGTGGATTACTGGAGGATTAGCTAGCATTTAATTATCTATCAAAACAATCAGATTGGTAGCTGTGTTTATTACTTGTTTGGTTTTACATGGCAAAGTATCTCGTTTTTATTCCCTAAATGAGTACAAACTGATCTTTTCATGTTTTTTTCTAGCATGGTACAAAAACTGCTACATCTAATATATTTCAAGTAATTCATAATATAGGATACAAGGAGGGTGTTCATGGGTATGTATAGTACTATGTATTTATTTGTTCCAAATATATGTACACAGTATGTGTGTGATGAAATAATTGATTTTGTAATTGTTTATGGTAATTGTATATCGTGATCAATATTGAATCCAAGATGTAATATTAGTTGTTGCATATGTAGACTGTTATAAAAGTACACTTGAAACATAGTTAAAACAAATATACATTTGACCTACCAGATCTGAATAAAAGTGCAGACTATAAACTGGGATATTTTGTGAATTTGTTATGAAAAGAGGGAACTTAATTAATTAGTGAAAATGTTAAAGATTGGTGGTCATTGCACCGCTTATTGGTCAGATATAGAACTTATAGTGACGTACACAACACATGTAA